CAAGGAGCTGGACGAGATCGAGAAGCTGCTGAAGGAGCTCAACCCGTCGGCGCCCATCTCACGCACCGAGTACGCCAAGGTTGATGCGGCGAGCATCCTCGGCATCGGCGCCTTCGACATAGACAAGACGCTCGCACGCGACGAAGGGTTCCTCGACTTTCGACCCTACCGACAGCACGACTCGCGCATCCAGTCCGTCACTCTCCGAAGCGAGGTACCGCACGACCGCACACACCGCACACATCGCACACGCAGGACTTAGAATATGTTTTGGGTGGTGGTCAGGGCGAGTATGCGATGGTGGACCTGCAGCGGTGGGTCGGGCTGCTGCTCAGGGAGCGCGGTGCCGCCATTCTGCGCAGCAAGGGCGTGGTCCACGCCCAGGGCGGCCGCCGGTTCGTGCTGCAGGGCGTACACTCCACCTTCGCCTTCGAGCCCAACGACCACGTCTACGTGCAGGCCAGGAATACCAAGAATGCCACGGCCGATGCTGACGTCAGCAGCGCGGCGGTCCCGAAGACCAACCGATTCGTCTTCATCGGGCGCGACCTCCACCCGAGGGACCTCCTGGCCCACTACCAGCGCCACCTTAAACAGAATGAGGCTGGTGACGTCAGCAGCGGCGGCGACGAGAGGGTGCCGAGCGTGCGGGTCGAGGCGTGGACCGGCGCGACGGCAGGCGGCGGCCAGGGCGCGAGCGTGGGCGGCCGCTGGGTGTCGTCGCTGGTCGTGTTCGGCATCCTCTACGCCTTCTCGCGCTATCGCCACGCGGTGACCGACGCCCTGGGCCTCCCGAGCGAGTGGGCGTGGCTGCTGGTGGTCGTCGCAGTGCTGCTCGCCGCCGTCACCAGGCGACTCTTCTAGCGACCAGGCACTCCACCGCTCGTGCGCGCGCGTGTGGCACGCACGACACACGCACGTCGCACACACCGCATGACACACACGCGTCGTGTAGCTTTTTACATTCGTTCACCAGTTGTCGGCCAATTCCAAGAAGAGGCCGGCCATGAAGCCACACCACCGACAGACCCGACAGCCTCCCCGCTGTGCGATATGCCTCTGGCAGCCTACGTCGTGTGGTGTGTGGCGTGTGGCGTGGGTCGTGCCGCACACGTTGCGTTGTGTGTGTGCGTGTGCGTGTTGTGTGTGCCTTACATGGCGTTGGCAATCATGACCATCATGGCGCCGGCTGCCCTCGACCACGCCCACGCCGGCAGGATCGCCGAGATGGGTTGCCTCTTCCCCTCCATGATTGGAGTGTTGTAGTTTCGACTCCTACCACACGCCTATCATCAGCAATGCACAAGACACGACTGTGCAGGTCGATGTGCGGCGTGGGCTCGAGTGCTTCCGGAGGCAGGCACTCTTCATCCTCTGTGCGCAGCACACGCACGCACCACCGCACCATCGCTCTCGAACACACCCACACGAGTACACCCAGCCACCTTTTTCGATGGCAAGAGGCAACGCTGGTTTGGTGAGTTCACCGTGGGCGCTGCCTGTCCACGCCTCCAGTTCGATGTACCTAGGGTCCTCCTTCCTCTTTGTTGCCTTGTTCACCATTTCCTCCATTTGCTTCTCGTCCCGCACCATCTCCTTCTCCAACTAGGCGATCTGCACAGGTGTGCAGTTACTGTGCGGTGTGCAGTGCGTGCAGAGCGTGCGGCGTGTGCGGCGCATCCACGTGCCTCGTTGCTCGAGCCCACCACCATGAATGCCACCTCGCCTGCCCACCACTCACTCACTCATCAGTGCTGGTGTCGTGTAGTGTGCGATTGTGCGTTTGCGTGTGCGGTGATGGTAGCGAGACGCTGGTGGAGCCGCGGCCGAACTCCAGCGGAAGGTGGAGCCGCTGGACAAAGAGGGAGACAGTGAGACCGCTCAGCATGACGCCGCCACCAAAGCCCATCAACATGCCGCCCAGCCCAACTGTTCTCACGGCCTTGGCGTATGAATTTCTTTCCATAAAAGGAAGAGTTTTACATTCGTTCACCAGTTGTCGGCCAGCTCCAAGCAGAGGCCGGCCAAGAAGCCGCACATCAGCGACAGCCCCGACAGACTCCCCGCCGTGCGATACGCCTCTGGTAACCTGCGTGCGTGCCATATTTGTGGTGAGTCGCATGTCGTGTGTGTAGTGTCCCGTGTTGTGTGCCATCGGACACGGTGTTCCTTACATGACGTTGGCGATCATGACCAGCATGGCGCCGGCGGCGATGCCCTCGGCCACGCCCAGGCCGTAGAGGAAGGCCGAGTTGGGTTGGCCCTCCCGCGGCTCCTCCATGAACGACCCCGCAAACGCGCCCACGCCGGTCAACCCTTGTGCACCACCCAAACGGTGAGTGTCGTGTCGTGTCGTTGGTCGTGTCGTTGGTCATGTCGCGTCGTTGGTCGTGTCGCGTCATTGGTCGTGTCGTTGGTCGTGTCGTGTCGTGTCGTGTCGTGTCGTGTCGTGTCGTGTCGTGTCGTGTCGTGTCGTGTCGTGTCGTGTCGTGCTGTGCGGTGGTGTGCGTATACCAGTGAGCATGAGCCACATGAGGAAGATGGCGATGCGCGACATGCCGTTCTCGAGCATGACGATCGAGGACGACAGCGCCACCGGCAGGTTGCCCAGAAAGAAGGCCACCCGCAGCGCCACCGTCACGCCCTCGTGCGACGCCGATTCCACTCCTGCGTGCTTGGCGCCATCAGAACCGCGCACGCTCACCCACACGCACACTGCAATCGTGCGCTGGTGGTGCACGGGGCGAGTACCGATGACGAGCGACTCTGGAACGCCGTCGATGAGAAGGCCCATCCAAATGGCCAGCCCGATGAGACTGTGCGCGTTGATGTGCGGCGTGGGCTCCAGCGCTTCCGCAGGCAGGTCAGCTTCGTCCTCTGCGACCCCGGCGCATCAGAACACAACGTACGACACGCGACACCCACGCAACACGCGACATGTCGGACCTTTTTCGATGACCAGCGGCAGCGCTGGGGTGGTCAGCTCGCCGTCGCCGCGGGTGCTGACTGTCCACGCCTCCAGGTCGACGTACCTCGGGTCCTTCTTCTCCTTTGTTATCTTGTTCACCTTCATGTCCTCCATTTCCTTCTCTTCTCGCATCTGCTGCTCCAACTGCATGTGCGTGTGCGTGCGTGCGGTGAGTGCGTTGCGCGTGTGCGTTCCGCGTGTGCGGTGTGCGAGTGTGGTCGTGATGGGCTGTGCGTGCCTCTTCTTCGAGAGCGAGCTGAAGCGCCTCGAGGGCGACCGACGTGTGCGCAGCCCGCGTGGTCGTGGCCTGCTTTGCACGGGCGAGCCGCAGTTTGGTCAGGAGCGGCCGCAGCCGCCTCGATCGCCACTGCGTGAGTCGCTTTCGCTTGGCCGACAGGCGTCGCATCCACGCGCCGCGTCTCTCGAGAAACGAGTCCACCACCACGAATGCAACCCCGCCTGCCCACCACTCACTCACTCTTCAGCACCGATGTCGTGCGGTGTGTGTCGTGTTGTATCGTATGTGCGGTGTGTGCGGTGTGTGCGGTGATGGTACCAACGAGGGCGGAGACGAGGAGGACGCTGGTGGAGCCGCGGCCGAACTCGTGCGGCCGGGAGAGCCACTCGCCAAAGAGGGAGATGGTGAGGGCGCTCAGCATGACTCCGCCGCCGAAGCCCATCAACACTCCGCGCAGCCACAGCGGCACCGTCGGCCACCTCTGCAACCTCCCCCAACCCCCGATGACCTTTTATTTCCCTTTTTAAAACAATAATAAATAAATAAAAGTAAAATAAATGAGGACCCCGTACGAGGCCAAGGAGGCAGCCGATGGGGAAGGAGCTGGCGCTCAGCACGCCCCAGCCCACCGCCTCCAGCTGCTCCATGTTGAGCTCAGCTGGGCTTAGGTCGAGAGGAGTGCAGATCACCCGCACACACCCGGGATTGCGGGCTTACTCGGCCCGCAGGCACGATTGGCTGCCTTTTGTGTGCTGCCGGCCCAATGCGCCCGCAAGAGTGTACAAAAGGCCCAAGGTCAAGAATTCTCATTATTATTATCATTATTGCTGGTCTTGGGCGGGTGGTGGAAGAGGAAGAGGCGCTGCCCTGACGCCAGGTTGTGCACCTTGTCCGGCAGCCATCCCGCCACTTGACGCCCGCCATCATCGCCATCATCGCCATTAGATGCGGTTGTGAAGATCGAAGGTGAGTGCGTGTCGTGGGTGTGGGATGGAGATGTACCGGGAAACTGGTAGGTCACGACGCGGGCGCCGGGCTTGAGGCAGCGGCTCAACACTTGCTTCATCTTCTTGTTGCCGTGCTCGCTCAGGTACATCGTCACCACCGACGCATCACTGCACACCACACACACACGCCTGTCCGCTCAGCGCACACGTCACACAGCAAGTTGGGGGACACGACACGACACGACGCACGGCACGACACGACACGACACGACACGACACGCACGTGTAGTCGACTTCAAGTGCGTTTTGCTTGAGGATGGTAATGCGATCATCGAGTCCGCCGCGCTGGGCGTTGAGCCGGGCCTCCTTCACCAGGGCGTCGTCCAGCTCGATCCCCACGCACCGGGCCTTATACCTCCGAGCCGCCTCCACGCACATCCCCACGGCCGCACACACACCATCCGTGGCACGGTTGAGCACCGTCGGACATAAAACAGGCAGTGCATTTTAGCTCCGATGCGTGGGTGGGGGCGTACGTCCGTCGCCGCAGCCAACGTCGAACAGGCGGTCGGTGTGGGTGAGTGCGGCGAGCTTGAGGATTTCGGAGACGATGGATTCGTTGGTGGGCACGTACGGCGCCATGTACTTCCCGTTGAAGGCCCACCCGGCCACCGCTCGCCACCACGTCCGCAGCGCAAGCCCCATCTACAATCAATCTTGTCTTTTCTTTATTGTACAAAAAAAAGAAAAGAAAGCAAATTAAAATGAAATAAAAATTCACACAAAAGAATGGATCGTGTCGACATCAGGTAATATCCGACAATTAATTTAATTTAATTTAATTTGTGAACTGGGGGTGGAGACAACAGAAACAATCCACACCAGTAGAGCCACAACAACAGCGAAAAATAGGCCTTTGATTATAGATTAGGTATGCCACATTGGCCTTCTTGGGAGGGCGCTGGCGATTAATACTCGAGAGGATGCTGTTATGATGTATTATTCGTTTATTACACTGATTTGGTTTTTTGTGTTTGGGGGGGGGTCGAGCAGAAAGGATGTCGACTCCGAGCTCGCGAACATCTGCGCCGTTGATGGAGGGCTGGCTGACGAAGGAGGGCGGCACCATCAAGTCGTGGAAGAAGCGGTGGTGCGTCTTTGCCGACGGCCAAATCACCTACTACACCGCCCCTCCCTCCAAGGCACCTTACACTCTTCCCCCCCCCGCCCTGCATCGTTTCTTTCTTTCTTTCGTTTTCTTTCTTTCGTTCTTTTATTATTTTAAACAATAATTATGTTCTATTTTTTCGCCTGCCAACTAATAGTTTTTAATGAAATAAGTAATAAACAAACAAAAACGAACAAAAACGAACCAAAAAATAAATAAAACGTCCCATAATACAGAACGGCAAGGTGAAGGGCTCCATTCCGCTGAAGATCATGGAGAAGGTGCAGAAGAACGACTACAAGAAGAAGAAGAACTGCTTCGAGATCCAGACCCCCGATCGCAACTACCACCTCTTCGCCTCCACCGGCGAGGTGTGTGTGCCTTCTTCTCTCCCGTCCGCGCAACACGCACACGCACCGCACGCTACCAGCGCACGACACGCACGGCTCAGAGTTAACGTGGAAGGCTGGGGCTGACCCGTGTGTTGTGTTGCATGGGAGCAGGAAACCGATCAGTGGGTTCAGGTTCTCCAGAAGGCCTTCTCCGAAAATAGGGTAGCGACACGCACACACGACACGACCAACGACACGACACGCCACACGACACGCCACACACGATGACACGCACGGTGCGCGTTCTCATTTTAAAACAATTCCAGGCGGAGGCCTCTGCGTCGTCGTCCTCGTCTTCGCCGTCGAGTGAGTCCGCCGCTCCCGCCGCGTCCCCGGCCGCCAACGGCTCCGGCCCCGCCGCCAACAAGGTTCGCTCGCGTGTGCGTGTGCGTGTGCGTGTGCGGCCAACGAGTGTGTGCGCTCTGACATGACACGACGCGACGCGCGCGCGCGCAGGAGGTGGAGGCGGACAGGGTGAAGGTGAACGACTTCCAGTCGCTCAAGGTGATCGGCAAGGGCTCGTTCGGCAAGGTCCTCCAGGTCCGGTACAAGAAGACCGGCCAGATCTTCGCCATGAAAGTCCTCAACAAGAAGACCATCCTCGACCGCAACGAACTCGTGCGTCCCCCTCCAATGTGTGTCGTGCGGTGTGTGCGGTGCGTGTCGTGTCGTGTGTGCGGTGCGTGTGCTGACCGTTGGCTCGCAGGACCACACGCGCGCGGAGAAGAACATTTTGATGCGGCTCACCTGCCCGTTCCTCGTCCGCCTGTACTACTCCTTCCAGACCCAGGGTACGTACTCATGCGCGTGTTGTATGCGCGTGTGCGGTGTGCAATGCGCTCACGACACGACACGCACAGACAAGCTCTACTTTGTGATGGACTATGTGAACGGCGGCGAGCTGTTCTTCCACCTCCAGAAGGAGAAGACCTTCGCGCCCAAGCGCGTCCAGTTCTACGGCGCCGAGATCGTCGTCGGCCTCGAGTACCTCCACAACCAGGGCGTCATCTACCGGTACGCCCTCCACCACGTGTTGTGTGTGTCGTGTCGTGTCGTGCGGTGGTCCACACTCACACGATTGGTCTGGTGCGCAGTGATTTGAAGCCGGAGAATATTCTCATCACGGCCGAGGGCCACATCTGCATGACGGACTTCGGCATCTCCAAGGAGGGCCTGCTCGCCAAGGACGACCGCACCGCCACCTTCTGCGGCACCCCCGAGTACCTCGGTACCGCCACCGCACGACACACACAACACACGTAACACGTAGCACGACACTCACGAGTGTGTGCGGTGCAGCGCCGGAGGTGCTGGAGGGCAAGGGCTACGGTAAGGAGGTCGATTGGTGGAGCTTCGGTACCCTCATGTACGAGATGTTCACCGGCCTGGTACGTGCCTCACACCTCCCCCCCACACACACACACAACGATCGCGTGCGGTGTGCGTGTGCGGTGTCTCACACGTGTCGTGTGGTGGGTTGGTGAGACCAGCCGCCGTTCTACAGCGAGGACGTGCAGCTTATGTACTCCAAGATCATGAACGCCAAGCTCAAGTTCCCCTCGACCATCCCCGCCGAGGCTGCCAACCTCATCGAAGGCGTACGTGGCCCACCACTTTGCTTGACTCGCAACAGTGCAACGACACGCAACGCACGACACACAACTAACGACCATCGACGCGCAGCTGCTGAGCCGTGACCCCAAGGAGAGGCTGTCCGATCCGACCGCCATCAGGGTATCAATCCATTTTTTTAACGTTCTTTTTTTTCGTTCTTCGTTCTTCTTCGTTCTTCTGCGGCGACTGACCGCTCGCTCCGGCACAGGCCCATCCCTACTTTGCCAACATCGATTGGGACAAGCTCATCAAGAAGGAGATCGTCCCGCCCTACGTTCCCCCCGTGGTACGCGCCTGCTCACACACGCGCGCAAACGAACTATCATCATCACCGCACTCACACAACACACCGCACACACGACTGCTTCACACAATAAACAGAAGAGCGAGTTGTCGACCGACATGATCGATCCGTCCTTCACCGGCGAGGACGCCACCCTCTCCGTCACCGATAACGTACGTTACGCCCGCGTCCCCTTGCTCCCCCCCCCTCTCGCCGTCGTGTTTTGCTCACGTTCGCTCTTTTCTTCTTTCGTTCTTTCGTTTTTTGTTTGTGTGTGGGGCTTACGTCAGGGATCGGAGCTGTCCAAGGCCGAGCAGGACAACTTCGGTGGGTTCACCTACGTCGCTCCCTCCAACCTCAAGTAGTGGTAGCAGCCGCGCCCCCGCCGAGCCACCTCGCTCCGGCCAACAATCACCACTTTTACATCTCGCCTGTGAATGTATGAATATATAATTCTTTTTATTACATATTATTCTAAATATGTAAGAATTTATATCTATTAAGTTATTCTTAATTCTATTCATTTGTTTCAGCTCTTGTGCGCTGCGGGAGGAGGAGAGGGCGAAGCTGAAGCCGGCTTGGCGGCGGCGGACGGTGTGGGCGGCGGGATGGTGGCAGAGGCGGGCGGGTGGTGAGTGTGAGGGTGTTGGTGTTGGTGGGCGGCGGGGTGCAGGAGCGAGGAGACGGCCTTCTTGACCCGGCTGGGCACGAGGGTCGGCAGCTTGAACACGGGCGTCGACGACGCGGCCGTGATCGGCAGCAGAATCCGCTTGTACCGCGCCCATTTCAGCAAACTGAAGCCTACACGACATGCACCGCACACACATGACACGACACGACACGACACGACACACGATCAGCGACACAACCAGCGACACACGCGGGGGCGAGGGCGAGGGCGTACCAAAGGCGAAGGAGCAGAAGAGGGTGGTGCCGACGACGGCCGGGAAGGCCTGGGGCGACTCGAACCAGTCGGGGAAGGTGAGGTTCATCCCGAAGAAGCCCGCCGACACCGACGCCCCGCCCAACACCAGCGCCGCCACACTGATCCGCAGCTCCGTTTGCATGATCCTGCCGTGCGTGCGGTGAGTGTCGTGCGGTGAGTGTCGTTCGGTGCACCGTGTGTGTGGGTGTGTGTGTGTGTGTGTGTGTGCGGTTCACCTGTTGCGGGAGCTGTTGAGGTTGATCTCGAGCATCTTCTCGCAGTTGCGTATGTTGCGGTTGATGAGCTTGACCCGGGTGAGGAGGTCGTCCACGCACTTGGCGTAGTTCTCGAGCAGGATCTCCACCTCGGTTCGGTCCACCACCAGCTCCTCCTCCCACGACAGCCCCGACGACGACGCGGACGAACTTCGATTGGCGGCGCCCCGACCGTTGGTGCTGCCGCCGTTGCCGTTGTTGCCGCCGCCGCCGTGGCTGTGGTTGCCGGCGGTGGACGAGGCGTACGGCCCGCCGTCGTCAAAATAGCCCGTACGGTTTTGGTGCTTGCGCTTCTCCTCTAATTCTCAGCGAACACTCACGTAAGACATGACACGACACGACACAACACACGACACGACACGACACGCCACACGACACACGACACGACTCACGGTGGGGGGGTACCCATTTCGTGGCGCTGGGTGAGGTTCATGAGCTCGAGGTCGCGGTCGGAGAAGAGGATGGCGTTGATGGAGGCGTGCAGCTTGGCCAGATCGTCCTCGAACTGGATGAGCTCCGTGTTGAGCTTCAGCATGAACTCCAGGTTCATCTGCCCCACCGCCAA